AGGAGGACCGGTGGGTCCTGTGCGGTGCTGGCCAGCGAGCTCCCCAGGGGGGAGGAGGACCGGTGGGTCCTGTGCGGTGCTGGCCAGCGAGCTCCCCAGGGGGGAGGAGGACCGGTGGGTCCTGTGCGGTGCTGGCCAGCGAGCTCCCCAGGGGGGAGGAGGACCGGTGGGTCCTGTGCGGTGCTGGCCAGCGAGCTCCCCAGGGGGGAGGAGGACCGGTGGGTCCTGTGCGGTGCTGGCCAGCGAGCTCCCCAGGGGGGAGGAGGACCGGTGGGTCCTGTGCGGTGCTGGCCAGCGAGCTCCCCAGGGGGGAGGAGGACCGGTGGGTCCTGTGCGGTGCTGGCCAGCGAGCTCCCCAGGGGGGAGGAGGACCGGTGGGTCCTGTGCGGTGCTGGCCAGCGAGCTCCCCAGGGGGGAGGAGGACCGGTGGGTCCTGTGCGGTGCTGGCCAGCGAGCTCCCCAGGGGGGAGGAGGACCGGTGGGTCCTGTGCGGTGCTGGCCAGCGAGCTCCCCAGGGGGGAGGAGGACCGGTGGGTCCTGTGCGGTGCTGGCCAGCGAGCTCCCCAGGGGGGAGGAGGACCGGTGGGTCCTGTGCGGTGCTGGCCAGCGAGCTCCCCAGGGGGGAGGAGGACCGGTGGGTCCTGTGCGGTGCTGGCCAGCGAGCTCCCCAGGGGGGAGGAGGACCGGTGGGTCCTGTGCGGTGCTGGCCAGCGAGCTCCCCAGGGGGGAGGAGGACCGGTGGGTCCTGTGCGGTGCTGGCCAGCGAGCTCCCCAGGGGGGAGGAGGACCGGTGGGTCCTGTGCGGTGCTGGCCAGCGAGCTCCCCAGGGGGGAGGAGGACCGGTGGGTCCTGTGCGGTGCTGGCCAGCGAGCTCCCCAGGGGGGAGGAGGACCGGTGGGTCCTGTGCGGTGCTGGCCAGCGAGCTCCCCAGGGGGGAGGAGGACCGGTGGGTCCTGTGCGGTGCTGGCCAGCGAGCTCCCCAGGGGGGAAGAGGGCTGGTGGGTCCTTTTTGGTCTGTGGGTCATTTGTAAGGTAGATTAATGGTTGTGCAGTCTTTGTAATACTTTGCAATTACCTTATGATGAGCCCTTACAGTGCAAGGTTGGGATGCGGTCACACTTGAGTTGGTTGATTGAACAAACGTGGTGAGTCTGAAATGGTGCACAACTCTAGCAGATCATACCTATACTCATTGGGAGAAATAAAAGAAGAAGAATAATAAATAAATAACCACGCAGGGCTTAAACGCCGGCAGATTCATCTGGATACCAGAAAGTTTCATGTACTCTTTGTGATACGAGCACGATTGTGACCACCAGGGTCGGGCTCATTCCGTACAACTTGTACGGTACAAGCTCACACCCATCATCAACACAACATACCGTACCAACGTCCGCTGCCCGAGTCCTTCCATACTGTTGCGGGTTCGTGTAAGAAGCCTACGTATCAGCCATCTCCCATTGATCAACACGCCTGTGCTACACTTGGCGCGACACCCCATCCAATGCAACGACAGAGATTAACATCATCACCAGCAACATCGGTACAAGCATCCGCTCCGTGTGCGAACGGACCACCACCCACATATCATCTCGCAAACGATCAACAACTCCCGTCGCATGTCTCAGAAGACCCATTTGAAACGAAGCACGTTGCCATTGCAAACACAAGAAAGCAAGCTTTCTAAATATGAAGTTTTTTGAAAGTGTGTAACACTTTCTAAAAATGTGTATTTTGAAAGCGAAGCTGCTTGTAATGCAGCAATGGCAACCGCGAAGTGCTAGACGCTCTTCGCCAACTATATAGCAGGGGGTGGAGGCCATTTGGCCTCCACCCACGTCTTCATTTGAAATTTCAACTGCATTATTTCCCACCCACCCACCCTAGCAAAAACTGCATGTTGTAATGTAGGTATGTATACTTAGCCGGACGAGAATGTTGTAATGCCCATTTGAAACGAAGCACGTTGCCATTGCAAGACATTTGAAACGAAGCACGTTGCCATTGCAAACACAAGAAAGCAAGCTTTCTAAATCTAACTAATTCGATAATAGGTCATAAGTCACCAGGAACTCTTACTGTATTTATCTTTGCTTCTAAACCCCGTGCAAATTTGGAGTTGTCAACTTCTGTGTAAGCTGAGGCGCTAGCGGGGCGGGGCTGGCGAAGACCCCAGCGTGCGCGCTTTGGCGGAAGAAAGTGCGCTGGCGGAAGATTTTTGGGTTGCGTAGCAACCTTATACATTCGTTTTCACTTTTCGGTTGACTGGCGTGAACAGTGATTTCCCCCCATCGATTTTGGAAGGAATCACTGTTCACGTAAGTTACCATAAAAGTGAAACCGAATGTGTCCAATCATCCATAATCGTCGATAAGTACGGCGAATGGAATAATTGGACAATCTCTCCACACGAACTACGATACCATACGTGAATTTCACAAAAAATAAACAACAACAACAAACAAACAAACAAACAAACAAACAAACAAACAAACAATGAAAACAACATGTAGATATGAAAGTACACATGAACTTGCTAAAAAACGTTGGACAATCAAGAATGCTTCAAGGCTAGTGCTAAATGCATCGATGATGCAACAGAGGTTGATATGGTGCGGAAGGGGCGAGCAAAGCTGCCCCACCGACGATCACAACCCCAATAGCATACACGAGGCACTCAACACCAAGCCCCGAAACAGGCACTAACGACAGCACACAAATTTGCACAAAAACATTGGAATTTGGACATTTACCAGTTGTGAATGCTTCAAGGCTGATGCTAAATGCATCGATGTCGCAACAGAGGTTGATATGGTGCGGAAGGGGCGAGCAAAGCTGCCCCACCGACGATCACAACCCCAGTTGCATACACGAGGCACTCAACACCAAGCCCCGAAACAGACACTAACGACAGCACACAAATTTGCACAAAAACATTGGACATTTAACAGTTGTGAATGCTTCAAGGCTGATGCTAAATGCATCGATGTCGCAACAGAGGTTGATATGGTGCGAAAGGGGCGAGCAAAGCTGCCCCACCGACGATCACAACCCCAGTTGCATACACGAGGCATTCAACACCAAACCCCGAAACAGACACAAACAACACCAACATGTATGGACAGACACATACAAGCGCGCTCACACACCTACACACACGCGCAAACAAACACAAAGGCATACTACCGCTATTGAACATGCAATGCAAGCGTAACGAATGAGATCAGTCATGTATAAATCACCGTTATCCTGTCCCACATTCCCCTTCCTCCCTCCCTTGTCTCCCATCCCACCCCTCCCTTCCAATATCCCCTATTCCTCCCATATCTGTTTACCATCTCCCAGCCCCTCCCCTTTCTCCACAAAAGAAACCAAATAGTGCAGCTTGAACTCCCTGCCCAAGAAAGCACAAACAGTGCATGTAACTCACATTCCCTGGACAAGAAAGCAAAAACAGATAATGCAGCTGACACTCCCTGCACAGCACAGGAAACAAATCACAGGAATGCAGCCCACCCGAGCACAAGAAACGAGGTAAGAGTTATAACAATACGCTGATGAAGAATGAAGTACAAAAAAATCATATGAGGGACGAAAACAAACAAATTTGACATCTCACGAAGGTGATTCAGTATAAGATATCGTGTCGTCACACATACCATGCCAGCATGCACGCAATGCCTCGCAGCCACCCTCGCAGCCACCCTCGCCTTCACCCTGACACTCATCCTCGCACCTCACTCTTGCACTCACTTTCTAACTCACTCACGCACACACTATCGCTCCCAACTTTTGCTAGACACGCTCACAGAAACACACACTCCCTGCACTCTCACACTCAAAATAGCACGCATGCTGCACGCACACTCGCACGCACCCTTGCACTCACCCTCAAACTCATTTTCGCACTCATGTTCGCACGTATCCTCGCTCTCACCCTCGCACTTACCATTGCACTCACGCCAGCACCCTCGCACTCACCCTTGCACTCACTCTTGCACACTCACTTGCACTCACACTCATACTCACACTCACTCTCAGTCTAACGCTTGCTCTTGCACTGACCCTTGCACTCACCTTCGCATTCACTCTCGCACTCACGCTCACACTTCTTCTTGCATTCACCCACGCGCATGCACCCTCAAGTGCATGCGTGCACTCACTCGCACTCACACCCGCACTCATTCTCTCACACTCTCTCGCACTCACGCTCGCAACCACTCACGAACACACAGGCACTTTTAACCGTTCTGAGACACACTCACAGAAACACACACATAAACCCTCACACTCACCTCCAGACTACCGCTCGCGCTTACCCTTGCACTCACTCGAACACGCACACGCACGCACAGCCGCATGCACAGTCGAACCCAACTCGCACACACACCCACACTCGCACCTACAGCCACGCCCACACTCACGCTCGCACTCCTTCTCGCAGTCCTACTCGCCCTCTATCTCCCACTTTCTCTTGCACATACTCGTACTCACCCTCGCACTCACTCTTACACTCACACCGTGATCACCCTTGCACTCAACATTGCAGCCACCAACTCATTCATTCAGCCTCTGACTCTCGCACTCACTCTTCACTCACACAAATATACTCTCAACTCTTCTTTGACACTCACAAAAACACACACACCCTTGCATATGCCCTCGCACTCACCCTCACACACACTCGAACGCACCCTCGTGTTCCTTTGCACTCAACCTCGCACACACACACACACTCACGCGCACACTCACCCTCAAACTCGCCCTCGCACTCACACTTGCACTCACTCTCAAACTTGCTTTCTCACTCACCTTCTCACTACTCTCGCACTCACTCATGCGCTTGCTCTCTAATTCAACCTCGCACTCGCCCTTCCGCCCACAACTGCACGCGCAGCTCACTCGCACTTACACCCACACAAGCACCTATATTCACACCCGCACTCACCCTCTGGCACACTCTCGACTCACTCTTGCAACCACTCATACACACTCACGCCCTAACCACAAGCGCACCAGTGCAGAGCCCTAATTGCAAGCGACATAAGCGCAAGCGGGTTAAGCGCAAGCGCCCACGGCACCCACGCCAACGGCGCAAGCGCGCACACACTCTCTCTCCCGCCTCTCCTCCCACACGCGTTTCGTGCTACCTCCAGCTCTTCATTCTCTCTCAACATACGCTCTCTCACGCGCACTCCCTGCGTGCTCGCTCCTGTGCGAACGCTCTCCCTCGCGCTCCCTCTCTCCCCCTCTTCAATTGGTAGTGAAACGCAAGACGAGGCAAGTCTAAACGCAGAAAACTACAAATAAGGTAGAAAACAATGGAATTTCAGAGGGGTAGGAGGAATAAACGCACCTGCTAATGACGGTGCCTCGAAGACCAACCCGCGCTAGCGCACCAGCTCTCGTTCGCGCACCATCCTTATCCGTGCTCTCAAACCTCCCCACGGCGGGACGGGAGGGAGTGGCGCGGCGGGGATGAGGGCGAGGAGCGGCGGAATGGAAGGGAGAGACGTCGGCAGGATGGGAGGGAGTGGCGACGGCGGGATGAGAGAGAGTGGCGAAGCAGGATGGGAGGGAGAGACAGCGGCGGGATGAGAGGGAGAAGCGGTAGCGGGATGGGAGGGAGTGGCGACGGCGGGGTAGGTGAGAGAGGCGACGGCGGGGTGGGAGGGGACGACGGCGGGATGGGAGGAAGCGGAGGCGAGGGGATGGGAGGGAGCGGAGGCGAGGGGATGGGAGGGAGCGGAGGCGACGGGATGGGAGGGAGCGGAGGCGACGGGATGGGAGGGAGCGGAGGCGACGGGATGGGAGGGAGCGGAGGCGACGGGATGGGAGGGAGCGGAGGCGACGGGATGGGAGGGAGCGGAGGCGACGGGATGGGAGGGAGCGGAGGCGACGGGATGGGAGGGAGCGGAGGCGACGGGATGGGAGGGAGCGGAGGCGACGGGATGGGAGGGAGCGGAGGCGACGGGATGGGGAGGGAGGAGACGATGGGGAGGGCGAGGCGACGGCGGAGGGAGAGGCGACGGCGGAGGGAGAGGCGACGGCGGAGGGAGAGGCGACGACGAGGTGGGAGGGAGCGGCGACGGCGGGTAGGAAGGAGAGGCGAGGGCGGGTGGGAGGCGAGGGTGGGTGGGAGGGAGAGAGGACGGCGCGGTGGGAAAGTAAGGATGGTGGGGTAGACGTGGATGCTATGACGAGGTGGGTGGGAGGGAAAGGCAACAGGTGGGTGGGATTGTCACGTGAAAACACACACACATTCACGTGACACTGACTGGGCTGAAAACAACTCATTAAAAATAGTGCAATGGTACAATAGAAAGTATCATCTTTGTTAACTACATAAAAAAACAATCAATGTGTCTCAATGTTTAAAAATCATAAACATCCAGATTGAAACTAATACATTGCACCATCAAGAAGAACTTGCCGTGTTCTTTAATACGGTAGACCTAAATTTGGCGCTAAATAAGACAAGGCTCGACGTTTACCGTCGTATGGGTTGCGTAGGATTTGCCATTTTTGAAGATCATACACAATAAACTAACATAACGTATAATAACATACATATTATACTATCACAAATGCATATATAGGTGACTGCTACTTTGGAATGGATTAAGGATTCAGTTCACTACATGTAGTTCACTACTAAACTGTATATGTATGTGGTTGATGACAATCACTTGAAAATAATTATTACGGATGCTATACATTTTGCTCTGATAGGTAGGCAAATAAGCTAGATGCTTGTGATATATCATTTACGCTACTCGTATTTTTGATGTGTTCAGATTTATGGAGAATGAACTATACAATTCTTGATATAACGTTTTAGGATCCATCATATTAGTATGTTGATGTTGGAACAATCTTAAAGCGGCAGTATACATTTGGCAGGGGAAAGGCCAAAAGTTTATAAAAGGTACATGGTGGTAACCAAATTACAGGGTCCCTCGACTTCTGACAGCGACAAGCCCCAACCCCTCTCACCCGACTCACTCGTCAAAAGTTTATACCTAGCCAAAAGTATACTGAAGGACATGCCTCCTCTCCACTATCCCCACTCCCATAGCGTTCTTAGTCATCACAAAAAAAGGTAACTTCGAAAAGCACTGCAAGCCATTGTGATTATAGCGCTTCTCACGCTTAGGTCATATGCAGACAGAGACATTGTTTATTTTCGTGGAACTAATACACGGAGCATTTCGCATCCAAAGTGAGAATGCATCCGTGGCGGCGCCTTGGCCATTCCCTTTTCTGCGGCCCGATTCCCCTTCGCCGACGCCCGATTCCCCTTTCCCGTCGCCTGATGCCCCTTCCCGCCGCCCGGTTTCCCTTCCCGCCGCCGCGAAACCCCAGTCACGCTGCCCGATTCCCCTTCCCGCCGCTCGACTCCCTATTCTCGCCCCCCGATTCGTCTTTCCCGTCGCCCTCTCCCTTTCCCGTCGCCCGATTCACGTTCCCGCCGCCCGGGTCCCCTTTCCCGCCGCCCGAATCCCCTTCCGCGCCGCCCGGTTCCCCTTTCCCGCCCATTGATTCGGGGCGGGCCGCCCGACCGCCCCTTCCCGCCGTCCGATTCCCCTTTCGCGCCGCCGCATTCCCGTTCCCGCCGCCCGATTCCCGTTCCCGCCGCCCGCCCCTTCCCCTTTCCCGCCGCCCGATGCGCCGTCCCGCCGCCCGATTCCCATTTCCTGCCGCCAGACTCCCCTTTCCGCCTCGCTATTCCCCTTTCCGTCGCCCGACTCCCCTACCCTCCCTTCTCACCCTTGTCTCCCCTACCCCTACCTGATGTCCCTTCCCGCCGCTCGACTCCATGATCTCACCCTTGTCTCCCTTCTCTCCTCTCTTCCTCCCTTTCTCACCCTTCTCTCCCTTGTCTCCCTTCCTCGCCCTTCACTCCCTTCACTCCCTTCACTCCCTTCTCTCCCTGCCCTCCCTTCCCTCCCTTCTCTCCCTTCCCTCCCTTCTCTCCCTTCTCTCCCTTCTCTCCCTTCTCTCCCTTCTCTCCCTGCCCTTCCTTCCCTCCCTTCTCTCCCTGCCCTCCCTTCCCTCCTCTCCCTGCCCTCCCTTCCCTCCCTTCTCTCCGTGCCCCCTTCCCTTCCCTCCCTTCTCTCCCTCCCCGCCCTTCTCTCCCTACCCTCCCTTCTCTCCCTACCCTCCCTTCTCTCCCTTCCCCCCCTACTCTCCCTGAGCCCCCTTCTCTCCCTTTCCGCCCTTCTCTCCCTTCCCTCCCTTCTCTCCCTTCCCTCCCTTCTCTCCCTTCCCTCCCCTCTCCCCTTCTCTCCCTTCTCTCCCTTCTCTCCCTTCTCTCCCTTCTCTCCCTTCTCTCCCTTCTGTCGCTTCCCTCCCTTCCCGCTCTTCTCACCACCTCTTTGATTTGCCTTCCTGTCCCCCATCCTTCCTTCCTTACGCACTCCTCCTGCCATTCTCTACTCTTGCAATCCTCACTGCCATCCTTCCCTTCCGCATATCGTGTAACCAAGCCCCTTTCGATTCTCCTGTCGTCACCACCCAAGCAACAGCGGCATTGCCATGGGAAATTTCAACATGCATCTCCCACCTACCCCCACCTACTCCCATCTCACCTCCCCTCCCCTTACCACCTACTCCCTGTTCTCACTTCCCCCTCTCCCCCACTTACCACGGGATTTCAGCCCACCACGCCTCCCCACACCAACTGCTCCCACCACCTAATACAAGGGGGGGGAAAGGAGGGAATGCAAGGGGGGGAAAGGAGGGGAGAAAACGGGGGAACGGAGGGGAAGCAGTGGGGGAACGGAGGAGAGGATGCAGGGGCGGAAAGGAGGGGATGCAAGGGGGAAAAGGAGGGGCAGGGGCGGAAAGGAGGGGAAAAAGGGGGGGAAAGGAGGGGAAGCAGGGGCGGAAATGAGGGGAAGCATTAAAGGGAACGGAGGAGGGGATGCAGGGGGGGAAAGGAGGGGATGCAAGGGGGGTAAAGGAGCTGTGAGGGAGGAGGAGGGGAAACACGGGGGGAAAGGAGGGGAAACACGGGGGGGGGATGAGGGGAAACACGGGGGGGAAAGGAGGGGATGGAGGGGGGAAAAGGAGGGGAAGCAAGGGGGGAAAGGGGTGGGTGCATGAGGAGAAAGGAAGGGACGCAGGGGGGGAAAGAGGGGATGTAGGGAGAGAAAGCAAGGGAAGCAAAAGGGGAAAACAAGGGGAAGTAGGGGGGGTATTGGGGGAAGGGAGGGCGCAGAGGGGAAACTCATGGCATTTCTCTGGCGCGCGCGTGTCTGGAACCGCGTGCTGTTTGGTGGCGCGCGAGTGTCACATGCGCTCGATGTGCTGGCGGCGTCGCTAAGAAGGCGCGTGCCGCTTTGCTGCGCGCCTTTCGCTGGCGCGCGCTGCTCTGCTGAGCGCGCCTGACGCGCGCTGTGCTGGCGCGTGCGGAATGCCAGCATAGCTGGCGAAAGTTCGGCGCGCGAAGCCGCAGCATAGCTGGCGCGAGTGCCGCGCGCGAAACGCCAGCATAGCTGGCGCAAGTTCCGCGCGCGAAACGCCAGCATAGCTGGCGCAAGTTCCGCGCGCGAACGCCAGCATAGCTGACGCAATTTCCGCGCGCGAAACGCCAGCATAGCTGGCGCAAGTTCCGCGCGCGAAACGCCAGCATAGCTGGCGCAAGTTTCGCTCGCGGAATGCCAGCATAGCTGGCGCAAGTGACGCTCGCAGGTGGCGCCTGTAATGCGCATGGCTAATTACTCACCCGCATCTATGTATGTGGTCGCGCTGCTGGTTTAGTACCCTCCGGCCCGCGCCAAGTTATTTCTACCTTTTCTATTAGCTATTAGTTGCGACGGTACAAAATACTGCTGGTCTTCGTACCGACGGTGTGAGGTGGAAGGTGAGTTCGGTAACGGGAGCCCTTTCCCATTTTGTGACTCACAACCTTCCCAAACCTGGTTCCCTCACGACAGAAGCGCACCAGTTGTTCGCCAACACTCTCGCAATTCTGTTTTTCCTTTCGTTGAGGCGAAATCGCCTTGCACACTGTACAGAAACAACACTACTGTCAAATGTATACTCCTGCTTTAAACTAAACTATCCAAATGTGATTTTTTGAGGACCACACATGTGTGTGTCAGAAATAACTGAGCAGGAATGAAATGAACTAGCACAGAGTTTGGTACAAGTAGGAAACCCTAACTTTGCGTACCCTCTAAGGTGTAACCCACTACAGCCTACACAATATAAACATACAATGTTTGACACACCCCCATAGGCGCAGTGGGAGACAACCACAGGGTCACAAGACCAGTCAAAGCAAAGCAAAGCAAGCTCAGGGTGGATCTCAAGGATTCCACACAAATTCCGAGCACAAGCAAGCGGTCACAAGACCAGTTCACATGCAGGTTTATAACAAAGCAAGAGATACAGTGATCACAACCTAGCAAAAGTAAACAAGTAGGCATATATATATAGTGATCACAGTACAAGCAAGGTCAAGAGGTAAGCAAGTGAGGCCCAGTAGGTACAAGGCCTAGCAGCGTGCAAAAGCGCTGATGGTCACAAGGCTGAAGCGCCTTGGTGAACACATCAGCAGTGTTGGCCTCCGTGGCCACGTAACGCAGACAAAGCTGACCGCGCTGCTGCAGCTCTCGAGCAAGGAAGTACCGCAGAGCGATGTGCTTCGTTCTGTGCTCCAGTCTGTGCTCCTCACACAAGGCAATGGCAGCCTTGTTGTCGACGTACAGCACTGGAGGAGAACGAGGCCGCTCTCCGAGGTCGGTCAGCAGGTAGGTCAGCCAGCGTAGCTCCTGAGCAGCCATGGCTGTGGCGTAGATCTCAGCCTCACAACTGGAGCTGAGAACAGAAGAAGAGCGAGTAGAACGCCAAGAAACTGAGCCAGAGCCAAGGCTGAAGGTGTAACCCTGGGACGACCGCTGAGTAGCCTGGTCGTCTGCCCAAGAAGCGTCTGAGTGCCCTGTGAGAACAACCCGGTCTCGCCCTCCAAGCACAAGCCCCATGCCCGACGTACTGCACAAGTAACGCAACACCCTCTTAGCAGCATCCATGTGCTCCTTCCGGTGACGGCCAGGAGCGACATAGCGTGCTAGGATGCTAAGAGGGTATGCAAGGTCAGGTCGAGTGCAGGTCATCAGGTACATGAGGCAGCCCACAAGCTCTGGATACGGGCCACTCGGCTCTACGGACTCATCCGAAGGCAGAGCTGAGAGCGAGTGACCGGTAGGCAGAGGAGTGGACTGAGGCGAGGAGTACGTGAAGCGGAAGCGCTGGAGAACCTGCTGCACCATGTGTGACTGAGTCAGGGTGATGGTGCGCCGTGCTCTGTCCCGGGTGATCCGCAAGCCAAGATAGCTCGTCAGCTCACCCAGGTCTGTGCACGTGTGTCTCCTCTGCAGCTCCGACTTCACGTGAGCGAGTGCCGCGGTGTCAGCAGTGGCAAAGACCAAGTCGTCGACGTACACGAGGATGTAGAACGGCGGCAGCGAGGTGTCGGTGCGTAGAAACAGCGACGGGTCAGCAGTAGAGGGAGCGAACCCAAGAGCCGCAAGTGTCGTCCTCAGTGTGTCGTGCCACTCACGTGGCGCCTGGCGGAGACCGTAGACCGGCCGCTGAAGCCTCCACTGGGTGCCAGGAGGAACTGACCCAGTGAAGCCAGGGGGGCGGCGCAGCCAGATCTCCTCGTGCAGGCTGCCCTGCAAGAAAGCAGTGCTGAAGTCAAGAGAGTGAAGCTCGTAGTCGCGGTGAGCGGCTATGTGCAGCAGCACCCGAAGAGTAGTCATCTTCGGGGCGGGGGAGAAGGTCTGAAAGAAGTCTACTCCCTCTCGCTGACTGAAGCCTCGAGCCACGTAGCGCGCCTTGAAGACAGGTGGAGAACCCGGCGGCCGCTTCACCCTGAAAATCCACATGCCACTGACGATGTTCGCCTCAGGAGGGGGAACCTCGTCTACGTAGGTGCCTGTGGACTTCCAGGAGGCCATCTCTGCGTCCATGGCTGTCTGCCACTGAGAGGAGTAGGGACCCGCCATCGCCTCAGCGTAAGAGCGTGGGGTCGGGATGTCTGGTGCATCCGGGTCTCCCTCAGGGGCAACTAGCAAGGACACGAGACGGGGCAAAGCAGCAGCAAGGCAGTGGAACTCCTCCTGTCTGTCCTCAAGGACGTCCGTGCCAAGAGCACACTCACCCCCGACGGACGGAGGACAGGCAGACGCAGACTCAGACCTAGCGACAAGGCTGGCAGCGTAGTCTAGGCGACAGCGAGCAGCAAAGTCAACCAACTCAGCGACCAGAGCAGACGCAGCAGAGGACTCAAAGGTCGGGTCAGTGACAACTGTAGCGAGGAGACGCGTAACAGTGGGACTGGCAGCACGACGGGAGTCAGACTCCGGGTCAGGAAGAGTAGGAAGAGAGGACGCAGGAGGAGACGGCAGCGGGACACGCTGCGGAGCAGTGGAGGGACGTAGAGTCATGTAGTGAGTGCCAGGGACAGGAGGAGGACGCTCACGTGGGACACGACGACCAGTGCGAGCAGTACGAACAGGCGACGCAGGACGAGACTCAGGCTCACGACGCTCTGTAAGACCTCCTGTGGGACCAGCGTAAGGGGAGGGAGCAGGGAGAGGCGAGGCAGGCGGTAACTGTGACTGCGGCTGGACAGGCAGAGGACACTCGACGGAGGGAGGAGGACTAGGAGGAGGAGCCTGACCAAGAACCTGCTGAAGGAGCGGTACGAAGTATGGTCGCGGCCGCGCAGCGTCTCCAGAAGCAGCAGGGACACCAGTGGCAGCCCCAACGCCCGAGTCCTCAGCACCAGCAGCAGCTCCAACGCTCGGGTCCTCAGCACCAGTAGGAGCTCCAACGCCCGAGTCCTCAGCACCAGCAGCAGCGCCACCGGTCGGGTCCTCAGCACCAGCAGCAGCTCCAACGCCCGGGTCCTCAGCACCAGCAGCAGGGCCACTGGTCAGGTCCTCAGCACCAGCAGCAGCGCCACCGGTCGGGTCCTCAGCACCAGCAGCAGCTCCAACGTCCGGGTCCTCAGCCCCAGCAGCAGCTCCAGCCCCCGGGTCCTCAGCACCAGCAGCAGCTCCAGCGTCCGGGTCCTCAGCACCAGCAACAGCACCACCGCTCGGGTCCGCAGCACCAGGAGCACCACTACGAAGACTGCAGCGCCGCGTGTACCACTCGCGGATCACCTGAATGGGGGGGAGCTCCTGGGTAGGAGGGGAAGTACCGGAACGAGCTCCAGAAGCACCTCTCCGGAGGCGGCAGTACTCGAGGTACCTCTCCTGCAGCTGCTGGGAGGAGAGGGCTCCTCCAGGTGGAGCACGCTCAGGCTCAGCACCCCCAGACTCAGCACCCCCAGACTCAGCACCCCCAGTCTCAGCACGTCCAGG